AAATAGTAGGAAACGAATGAACAAGTGCTATCAGTTCGCTAATAGAGGCAAAGGGGCAAGTTCCAGAAAGTAGCCGCAGAGAAGGAGATACGATCGCTAGAACAAGTGCTTTATTAGCCCGACGTTTCGGATTCGCACTCGAATCCATCATCAGGGACGGAGTCAGATAAGGGTAGCAGATTGCCAGGTCTTGCAACACCTATAGGATGTAGTCGCTAGACCGCAACATGCTTATCACACTTGGCAGCTCCCGAATGCATCATAGCCCGACTGGTCAGATGCTGAAGTACGTCGTTGCGATGCCGTCGCTATGCACCTATATGCCAGTAAAGATTATCGGCTCCCACGCTCATCGCACACCACCGAGCGGCTGGCTGCCAGATTTCGTCCTCCGTGTGGACTCTTGGGTGATTTGGATCGCCGACATTCATACCGCCGACAGTAGTTATCTCCACGCTCTGCCCGCGGCTAACTACTTTGCCTAGGCTAAGCCTCAGCGCCGAATATGGAGCGGGGAGGTAGTTGTGCTTGTTGATTGAATGAGAATTGGAAAATCATGACTCGAGAAGTTCACGGCTCGCGCGGTTGTCGCCTCTAGGAAGAATTTCTGCCTCGTCAAACTTGAATGTGTGATTGGATCCCGTCGAATGAGCCGCAACTTGGGGGCTGGCGTCGTTCCTCTTCACTGCTGCCGCGTGCTCGGCCATCCGCGTCAAGAATAGTCTTCCGGTTTCTCTGACATTGTTCCCTTGCCCACAACTGCGCCAGACTCAGTAAACGACTTCAGATGTTTCCTGCCGTGGCAGAGAGTCCTTCGGTCTCATGATCTAGCGCCTAATAGTTGCCTCTGGTCTGTGTGCAACTCAAGTTCTAAGGGGCGTAAAGAGGCGGCTGGCGGCTTCCGAGACATTCTTTACGTACGGGGCAGCTCGCCAAAATTTGGAGTCCGTTGGACTTCGTATCTCACCTCGTTTACGCAGGCACTGGTTGACGAAGTTACGCGGGTAGCCATTCACTCTAAGCACCCGCCCAAGGTATTGTAATTCAGCAACCTTGTCTTCCGGTTCACTGCAGTGTGTCTCTACCCGCTGGTATAGCGCCCTTATGCAACTGCGTTTGTGACTGATTGGGTGGTTGCTGTTCTAGCTCAGTACTTGCAACTACATCATATACTGTTACATCGGGGCAATCCACTACCCCTATCTGACTCTGTCTCTGATGATGGATTCGAGTGGGAATCCGAAACGTCAGGCTAATAAAGCACTTGTTCCAGCAATCATATCTCCTTATCCGCAGTGCTATCAGTCTACAACGGTCGAGGTTCCAAAGCTGGCCATCGCAGATGCCGTCATATTCAGACGACTTTCTCGGGGATTTCGTTGGTGTTGAACGACCGGTCACAGCAGAAAGTCACAAAGGGCAGAGGCTACATGTGCTCAACAGTCCAACCTTCGTGTTTTTTTTGCTCTGACATGAACGACCGTCGTGTGCCTTGAACTGCGGTCTGATCACTGGACGCCACGTCCACATGACAACGAATACAACCCGATCACAGTCAGCAAAGCGGCAACCTGAGACCAATTGGATGCGAGTTCAAACTTCCGGAATGTGACTGTGACATGAGCAGTAGTGGGATTCGAACCCAACAGCAACAATGGCAAGGCTTGTGCGCAGCCAGTGCTCTAACCGTCTGAGCTACGAAACCCCCGACCGGCAGCTGTGAGTTAAATCACATTTGGGCCAGGTTACCCGCTTAACCCACTGCAACGTATGGACCACCAATTCTGATAATAGTAAGCTGACTGCCTAAGCAGGTTTCCCTAAGTAATCAGTCTAAAATCCATCAGATGACTACCAGGCTCACTTATAGCTTTTGGCAGATTTTAGGGTAATATGTGGTTATGTGGCCGCACCTGATGGACACAATACTTCTAGGGGTTAGAGTTATAGCAACTATTTCTCAACCACTCAAAGCATTTGCGTACAAATACTTGACCTCGTCGCCTGTGCGTCCCCTGGCCCTATCTGTAAAAATCCCCACCGGCCCCGTAGTACAGGCGGCTAGAGTTTGTTTACCTCGGGTGCAGCTACATAACCACATCTGACCGATTTTATTTAGAGTTGGCAGTACTTAAGCTTTGTTCTTATTCAAGACTATTTCCTGGGACTCGTCTCTTCGCTTCTATTGGTAATAGAACACCTGTTTTTCTTCGCAATGGCAATTCGCGTGTGGCCACAGGATTGCGACATGCTAGTGCAAAAGGCATGCGTCTGACTCAAGGGGAGTAGACTGCGGATATTGTTGAAAAATTAGAGGGCGTGCTTGAAGCCGACAGATTTTTTCATGCATTTTGGTAGTCGCTGACGTAAAGGACACCTCGCTGACCCACTAAAATGTCTTCGAACCTATCTGCTGGATAAATGCTTTTCCTTCAACAAGCAGATTAAATTTAACTGTCGGATACTACACGGCGAGTGGATGCCTCAACCGTCGGACTGAACAAGATACTTAAATCAATCAACCGGCGTCCGAGTACATTTAGGGGAAAACAGGGCAGATTCCGGCCGAACATAAGAACAGAGACGGACGAAGGGAATTGATAGCGCAGAGAACACGGGCGAAAGGAACGTCCTGTATGCTCATGGTAAACTGTGGGTAGCTATTTGGGCTGACCCTTTTTTGCATTTTGACCCAGCTGTGAAAAACTCGGCGACCACGGTGGGATTCGAGTCAAGTTACCTGCCCAGCCTACTGCGACGTATGGAATCCACCAAATCTGATACAGTAAGCTGACTGCCCAAGCAGGATTTCCTAGGCAATTCATCTATGGTCCTCCGGAAGACAACTAGACTCACTCTACTATTCGGCGTTCTGGAAGACTAGGTTGGGTTGGCTGTACTCAAGCCTCGTTCTTGTGCCTCCTAACGACGGGTTAGTACACATATATCCGAATTCACACGACAAGAAGTGCTACGTCCACTGGACAGAAAAGTATGCCGCATAGAATAGTAAGAGTAAACTGGACTGATGAGGAAAAAAAATTTTTGCACACCTAACGATCGGTTGCACTGCTGGTACGCGTTGGGGGCGAAACCCTAATAAGTCGCAGACGATAGAGCCAACACTGGTATTTGGCAGTTCTTGTCGTGGATAGTGCACCCGTGCGACTACGAGGCGTCTAATTACATACTAGGTGTGTAAAGGGTATTATACCGTACTCCCGACGTAGGTACCGGCTAAAAGCCCAGACACGAATTTCGCCGATATTCTGCCGCTGCGTGACATGGCTACATGGCTATTCCTCAGTAGTAGATTGTCTTCGACTTGAATGCTCGTTGAAATTTCAGGTCTGACCCTAAAAAGTCATGTCCCGGAGACTAAACTCCATGTCATGCATTGAATAATTCCTGAAATTATTCACTTGATTAGTGTCCGGAGTTCATATATCAGAAACCGCATAGAGGACGCTAGGGGACCCACTGAGGAGCCGAACCCCTCGCAGCTGTGTCGTGCACTGGCAGAATATCGGCGAAACACGCGTCTGGGCTTTTTGATAACAGGCCGAGAATTGATTGAGGCCTGGGCCTCGAATGAGAACTCGGTCAACCGACTTATCGATCTGGCGCTGACGTACAGGTCCCTACGTAGGCACCTCCAGTCTTGCGCCGTCGGTCAATGATTGGCCTATATGCTTATAACTGTCGCTTGTTCTGTTGCTGCTACTACCTCTGACGACGGACTCCTGCACGAGTCTGAAAGCTCAGGACAATAAACGAAGTGTTCCGGTGCTCGACTCTTCTTCTTCACTTATGATAACACCCATGTCAAGAGTACGGTATAATACCTTTACCATGTGGATTTCATGGCATTTGTAGTATTACTTATTTGTAGAATGGACATTGCGCGGTTATTCCATGGTAGTTGACTTCTTCGGCTCGAATCTTCATTGGAATTTCGGGTCTGACCCTAAAAATAGTCATGTCCCGGAGACTAAAATCCAGGTCCTGGACTGAATAATTTCTTAAATTATTCACTTGATGCTAGGAGTGTCTTTAACAGGAGGACTCTGGAGGCGCTAGGCCGACACGCCAGATAGTCCAGCAGTAAGCCAGGTTGAGATTTGGGTGAACAGTGAGGCTCGGAAAGTGCGCCATCAGTCCTGATAACAACGCAGAACCGCCTCCGAGTGTAACTAAGGCTCCCGTGTATGATCCAGCTATACACATTACTGTCGGAACTGGCCATCGACTAGTGATCAGTCTCTGGAAGCCTAGGAGAGATCTAAAAGGGGGCCTGTCACCGTAAACATCTTTTTTGGCTTAATCCAAGAATATTTTAAAGGCTCAATTCCAGGGCAACGCGCGTGGAGCACTCTTTGAAGGCACCCTATGGGAGACTTTGTCGGATGGGTGCGTACTTGACGGCGATGACAAAAAAAGGTCGAAACGTGAGATAACCGATAGCACTACCAAACGCGTTTCACGACTGTGGATTGACTACCTACCCCTCACAAAGAAGGTGACAGAATTATCAGTCTGGCCAGAAAACACAGGAGGGAAGGCGGTAGAGGTATTTTGGCGGGTTCGGCTCCTGCGGCCTTCAAATCCACCCTAACTACAAGAGGAGGCGTTGGCAACAAGCTGACTGTCAGTGCTGACTTTGCTCAACAAGCGCTGGCGTGAAACAGTGAAAGGGTTGGATTCTTTCATCATGGAGAGGAGCACTAACCATAAACAACAAGCGGACAAGTTCGGAGCCGGCGTCTGACATACTGCCTAATAAAGCCTCTGATAGAAGCATTCAGATAAAATCGCCGCATGCAACACACGAGAGAGACGCACAACGCTAAGATACTGCATGCAGAATACGCGAAGACTTCGATGTGAAGATCTGTATTTTGGGACCGAAACAGCAGCATTTTGCAGATGACATACTGCGACGTTCTGGTGCCTAGGTAATGGGGCTGGGGCTACTTTGGGGGAGGAGAGAGGGGAGGTATTCAGGTGATGCTGGCAAAGGTCTCCTCTCCTGCTTGCAGTGGGTCAACGAAGGCAGAAACGCAGGTAGTCGTCAGCACGTCAGGCTTCAGTGATGGGAGCATGGGATCAGGCGACCGGACCAACCGAGTCGGATCCCACACAGTGTCAGGCAGGGAGGCGAGGCCATCAGGGTCGAAGTATTCGATCCGCATGCCCTCAAAGTCTTGCTCGGTGGCACAGGCTGGCTTCACAGATGTGAGTAGACTTCGCAACCGATTGAGGCGCACTAGCAGGTGTGCGTCTGCCGTGGATTTTGGGACAAGGGAACAGGTGTAGCAGACGAGACGCTGGAGACTGTGAGAAGACCAGTTTGCGGCGAGAAGACTCTCGGCCAATGCCAGTGGGCAGTGTGGTAGGAAGGCAAGGGTGAAATGCGACTGGGGAAGGACGTACTTGCCTTCCGTATTTGAGGAGAGGATCTAAGTGATGACGGAGGAGAGAACAGAAGGCAAACACTGGGCGTCGAGGATACTACAAAATATTCGTAAATTCAGAGTACTTTGTCAGCGTCAACTATTTTTCCACTTTAAAGCAAAACTTGAAGAGATGCATCAGAAGCCTTATGTCTAAGCATGAGCTGCGGGGATGAATGGCAATTCGTTACAAGGTCAAACACTTAGTGGGTTTGTCGATACAAACGGCGATGCGAGTTCCAGGAACTAGTTGATCGGAAGAAGAACCGATCGCTGGAACAAGGGCTTTATTCGCCTGACGTTTCGGATTCTCACTTGAGGCCACCGGAGGCCACCATGAGGCGTCAGGTGATGAGACCAAAAGACCCACTACCACGGCAAAAACCTCTGGAGTCGTTTACCGGATCTGGTGCAGTTGCGGACAATGCAACTACGTCGGAGAAACTGGAAGACTGTTCCAGACGCCAATTGCCAAACACGTGGCAGCGGTACGGAGAAATGACGACAACTCTCAGGTCGCGGCCCATTCGACAACACCCGGCCACACATTCAAGTTCGATGAGGTCGAAATTCTCGCGAGAGGGGATAATCGCGTGAGCCGTGAGCTGCTTGAGTCATGGTTCACGGGATCTCAGTCTACCAACAAGTGCAACGACATCCCAACTCCACATTCCGTGCTGAGGCATAGGCTGGCCAAAGTAATTGGCCACTCGGGGAGCGCACAAGCCGGTGAGCCAGATGGTCGAGCCATCATCATGCCAGCATCCAACACACGGGCGATGAGATTTCAGCAATTAGCAACTTGCATGCCGGCCATCAAGCAATTAGCGCACCAGCGGGCAACAATCCTTGATGACGGGGAGCGCGGTCAATTGCTATAGGTATGCGGTAGCATAGCGACTGCATCCTATAAATACTGCAGCTTCCTGTGCACGAGTCACCCTTTTCTGCCACTGTCTCTGATGATGGATTCAAGTGAGAATCCGAAACGTCAGGCAAAAAACCCTTGTTCCAGCGATCGCTTCTTCTTCCGATCACTTAGTGGGTTTGCCGTGAAAAAGTCGCCATGGCGTAGACAAGGTTTCCCTCTCAGACTTGATGCGGCATAATTTCCAACGACAATAACGAAGTTTACCCGAAAATGTTTTTCACACACAAGAATGTCTATGACAAAGGTTGATCAAACTGTGAAAAACTCCGCAGTCTCTGTGGGATTCGACCCCGCGACACCAAAGGGAAGGCTGGAGCTCTACCCAAACGTGATCAAAATCACGGTTCCCAGTGAGGCCTCGTAGGTCACGTGGCTAGAGCGTTGGTCGTACTCAGGCCTTCCCCTTGCTGTCTTGGGTTCGAATGTCAGCGAGACAGCCGAGTTTTTCATGTTTGGGTCAAAATAAATTATTTAAGTTGGAGTAGATGAGCATATTCTAGGATCAATGGGCGCAGACCGAAGTAGTATGGTATCCTGTAACCTTAAAATATACTTTCCACCTGTCGGCAGTTAAGAAACATTACGCGGACATCCCGCTGTGGCTAATGGACTTCAGCCCAAGTATTCATACATAAAATTCCGGTCTGTGCCTATAGATCTTAGAATATACCGACCTACTCAGAGTTCGCGGTTAGTTTCTAAGGCGACTAAAAAGCCACAAAATGTAAACTGGAGTATCTAACAGAAAGCAGACGGGAAATGCTGGGGGACCCACTGACAGGCCGAACCCCTCACTGCTGTGCCATGCAGCGGCAGAATATCGGCGAAACACGCGTGTGTGGGCTTTTGGCGAGTACCTTTGCTGCTAGAATGGTATCCTTTAACCTTAAAAATATTTAAAATCTGCCAAAACACACACCAAAAGGCTGTTTTATCACAGTTACTAGTGTACACTCCGACTTACGCGGAACCCAAGTCGACGAATAAATTCTCGCGACGTATGGCGCAGCAGAGGATCGTAGAAGTACGTCTTAGAGGGCTGGAACAGGGTTGAGTTCTTCACCAGGGCAGTCAGAAAAGCCAATTGGCGGAGGCTTGATCGATCCACCGCCGGGTTTCCGAGGCCCAGACAGAGGCAGAAGATGGGAGCACCGGGGTCAGGGAGCTGTGGGAGGCCAAGGCGCAAAGACGTAAAGACCCTGTCCAACTGGGTGAGCACAGCAGTCACAAACTGCCTACCGGAGGAGGAGGAACGTTCAAAGTGGTCCAATGCAATGGAAAACTTCTTTTCTAGAGCTTCTGGTGTGTCATCGGGCAGCGCAATTAGCGTGCGATGGAGAGGACGGCGTGAAGCCAGTTGGTCTCGCAGGCGGATTCGCGGTGGAGAGGTTAGACCGGCTCGTTTGAGACGTCGCCGCATACCCTTAGAGAGGGCACACTTCCAACCCTGCTCGTCTTCATCATCATCGTCGTCATCGTTGCGGACTTGAATGTTCCGTCTTATAACGGCCGTTCCGGACTGCATGTGTTTCTGCGAGGAGAGATGAGAGCGAAACTCCGATTATGGCGTCCGCGTTAAAAGTTCTCCATCATCGACAGGTCTCCAGATCAGCGGACGGACTCAGGTTTACTTAAAACTGGAGAGGGGATGGGGCGGAAGATGGGGACAGAAAAGAAAAAAAACCTCAATTTCAGCAGTCCGTAAAAGCATACGTTGACTGCATCCGGGAGAGGCAAAATATTTATTTAAAATGACTGCACGCATTACGGCACGACGATGATTTTTCAAAGGCTGCAATTGGCTGACAAGGCTGATGGTTCGGCAACCTTGTAACCACTCAGAAAGTTGCGATTTAAACTTATGAAACTGACACGGACTGCTATGCATACCTACGCCCAGTGGAAATGCGCAATACATCTTTAACTGGGGCCACTTGTTGGTGGCACGGTAAATGTTCATTGTCTCCTGTGGCACGGTCGCGCACTCCGTCGACCGAAAGGCAGCTAATCCGCGGCGTTTCCTTTGAATCCACGTCCAAATAGACACAGTCACCGTGTCTAGTGGGGCCGGTGTGGTTAAGTTAGACCTAAAGAAAATCCCAGGTCCGGCTGTTTTCGGGAATGGAATGCCTGCTTCATAAATATCTCGTTAGGTCTCTCCTGCGATCGAAGCGCACGGAACACACTGGTCTGTGTTGGGGTGATAAATGAAGCCGGCAAAACCATCAACAGTGATAGCTGATTTAAATAAGTTTCAGCCGCAAAAGCAATAGAAGTCTCAAAGTGAATCCATGAACAGGAAACACTCCTGGTTAACGACTGCCGGTTTGGAGAAGTTTAGTTATGATGGCGCCGTTATCGCGATGGGTGACACTCACAAGTCTTTACTCTCGAGGAGTTCGTCGCGGTACTTCAATCCCTGTGCTGACCCGATTATGGCAGGCAATTGATCAACGAGTCCTCTTCCGTCGTTTACAGTGCGGGGTTAAATGTGATAGGAAGAAACGCCAAACGGAGAATCTAGTCGCTCTTGTCTGAAAACGATCATCGTACCAGAGAGTACGCAAACTTCGTTCGCGCTGGTTTCGACAACTCCACGAGGATATTCCAAGAAAACCGACAAGCAACTGCAGTGTCTTGGATAAATTTCCCGCCGCTTCGGCCCGTGCTCTAAATCATGTTGACCAAAGTCCACCGACGTCTCCTGCATGGACCTGACATCTAGACGGTCAACTCAAAACCGGTGCGTAGTTTCACCCACAACGATAAATCCGACGAGCTCTAAAACTAACATGATATTACCAAAAGTCGTGGCTCCAAGATTGCTAACTACCGAGATAAATCGATCTCCCTTTGGGACTTGGATCAGGCTCCTTCTTCGGGTGGTCTCTATGACACCGCTCCCCATTGCAAGATCCCAGCCCGTGTGTTGCATGCGAGAAACGGCGACCTCACGTCGCGCTAGAGTGGGCCCACTTCAGCTCGGACCCAGCACCTTATTTCGCCCTATAAACAACTAAGCGCGTCTTGAGGCCATCACAGCACGCTAATAGTCGTGGTTAGGAACGTTGTCAACCGGGGACTGAGGGTCAAACTCCTTGCTGTGGCTTCCATAGGACTCTGACTTACGCGAGGTCCAAGCGCCACTTGAGTGGAGCCTAATACGCCGGGAGGCAGGGACCAGACCGTGTGTGGCACGCGTAGACGGGCTGCATGGTTTTGTCAGCCCACGCCCACACCCAGTAGTCCTGCATTTTTCTCGCCATCGGAATGCGGCAGTTGCGGTGAGGGTATGATGGGTGCATCGTAAGTCTGCTTCATCATAAACTGCCCTAAACGCAAATCATCGGGTTAGTGGCGGATGTCTTTGCCGTTCACGAGCGACGGCAGGACATATAAGTCCCGCTCCGGAGGGACAGCAGAATGTGGCGAACCACTGCGCGACACTTACAGACAACTAATGTTCAGGTGTAAACATCTACCAGAACTTTAGCTCGAAGACACACCTTTTCGGTTACGATGATTGATTTTATGTCTTGGATCACAGTGAGGAGTTGCGACGTTTCGTCTCTCCCCAAACACTTCTTTCTTTTCTTGTGGGAAAGGTGGTTTAGTCCACCGAACAGCGAAATGACAGGTGACACTGGTGGAGTGCATAATCGCATACAAAATGGCCTAGTTGCGATACCGCTCGGTCAGAGGTGTCACGTCTACTTAGAAAGCTCATGCCACCCGGTAGTTTGTCTATCATTGCAGATAAGGACCACCACCCAGTAGCTGTGACTTGCGGCTGCATCTGTTTATGATGAAAGGTGGGGAGATAGAGGAAGGGGGAGTACACAGAGGTCGTAGTTGACGTGGCTGAATTCACGTCTACGCTTGCCATACACGTGCGGGCCTTTATGTTCGCAAGAACCGGATTCCAAAGAGAACTCGGGACTCTCATTGAGGTTTCGTAAACGTTACAGCCAAGAAGGAACTAGTGCAGCCTAACTACCAGACCGCCAGTTGGCAAGCCCCCCCAAGTGGGGAGGAAAGTGGACTTGCGGCCGACCTCACTCTCCCCACCTGCTCACCATGTTCCAGTAACAGCCCTACCGACTAGATGGTGAGACGAGACGCGATGGCTGATGTGATCAAGCCCCGTTTGAAGCGCGCAACATACCTGTTTGTTTAATTTATGTGGTTCGGCGCAAGAGCGAGGTACGTCTTGGGGCCAAACTACACGTAGTCAACAGGCAACCACTCATCGACACGGAGACACCAACGACCAGAGAGGGTGTGACTAATAGGTTCCCAAAATGACCATCTTCCTATCAATCAGACGTCGAAAGAGTAACGTTAGGCAAAAAATCGACACTTTCTGAGGCAGTGGGGTTTCTACTCAGCCAAGAGACAGATTACATGGACTTGAAGCGTTTTGCGGGACATGCAATGTCACAGCTGGGGAAGTAAGGAAGCATAACCTTTCAATTCGTCGCTGGTAAATAAGGGCTCACTAGAAAGGTCGATTAGGCTACTGCTAGAAGTGTGGATACACTCTCGAGAAATCGCTGAACAGTAAAGTCGTGGACCCAGCGCAGCGTTCAGGCCGCTTTATCGGAATCCACATCCAATTGAAGGAAATAGACAGAGATGGAAGACAGGCAGGAGGGGGTGTAAGAGGACAAAAGACTTGTGAAAAAAATGTAGACCTTTTTCTGACGAATAGAATGTATTTGGTAGACGAAGAAAGTTACAAAACACTTTAAACAAAGGCAGACAGCAAGCAAATCTTATAAAGGCTGGAAAAAATGCAGGAACCAGTCAGTCAAAGGGTGACGGATTTTTTGGTGAAAAAGCAGAAATGGAAAAAATACTTTGGTATGAAAAAAAAGGGAAAGAGCCACAATGCAAATGTGAGTGTGAGGTAGCAGTTAAAAAAGAGAGCCCTGAGACTTTGGTGTGTGTGTGTGCGCGAGTCCAACTTTTCGCTGTCGGAGGAACCTGCCTAGAAGGCCTCAATAAGCATCGCGTGTCCCAAACCGCCGGCCGCGCAGGCTGCAACCAGGGCCAGTTGGCCCTTTTCCGCGTGCAGACGATTGGCCGCCGTAGTGACCAGACGAACGCCAGTCGCCCCAAACGGATGTCCTATGCTCAGGCTACCACCCCAGAGATTCAACTTTTCCATCGGTATGCTGCCAAATTTGCTCGTCCGACCCATGAATTCGCGGGCGAAAAAGTCCGAGTCCATGGCGCGGAGGTTGGCGAGCACCTGGCCGGCAAAGGCTTCGTGCAGCTCAAAGACGTCAATGTCGCTGATCTTTAGCTTGTTTCGTTCGAGTAATCTGTTAGTGGAAAACAAGGAGCTATGGTGAGCTGATGGAGGAAAGGGGGAGGGGGGTGAGATAAGCTAGCATGGCCGGATTCAAGGTTGGGCGTGTCTATTTACGTGCTCAACACCAAAATACGGCAACTGTGCTGAGAGCTAGGAAATAGTCATAGAGTAGGTGACATGAGGTTAGGCGAGACAGCAAAACAAGCAGGGATTCTGTTTGCACGGATAGGGGCAGCATGGCTGACGCCGATTATAATGACGTGTACGGGGAAAGGAGGGATGGTTGCATTGACGGACAGCTAGTCGTCCGGTTGCCTACTGCGACTAGAGGTCGGCGGAAGGCGCTTCTGCAATCATAAAGATTAATACCAACTACAAAGTCAATGATTCCCTTAACTCCAACTTCCCGAAAACAAGTTGATGATGGAAATGGTGATAGTGTGGAAGCCCCTGTCCATAGGTATTTTGGCAAACTGACAACAAAGCAGATCATTGGAAACAGCATTACATAAAAAATCAAAAAAGACAAACAAGATCGCCTGTCCTTGCAGTAACCACTCGCCAGGATGTACAAGCAGTGCGACAATCACGCGAAGATAATTATCCTGCAGGGACTGCTATTTGCGAGGTCAATGCAGAAGAAACGACTTTCCCTTAGTCTGCAGTAACCAAAGGTGAGCGAACTGCTCGAAAGCTAGTGTCTTGGCAGTAACAACGAAGCAGAAGCCCCCACGCGGCGAGCACTTCTTTGCATAAGAGGTGTCTCCGAGGCCATGAAATGGAGGGGCCGCGGTCTTAAGAGCGAATTCACACACTGGCCCATGGCCACAATTAGTCAAATCACGTGGGGGCAAGGCCGAGCTAATTTCCGGCGGACATTCGAGTGTTCCTGTCACGTTTCGTGCGCCGACCGACCCACAATTACAGGGTCAAACGGGGCGAAAACTTGAGACTAGGCCATATGGACGTACAATAGTCTTCCGTGAGGTGGAGCGGGAGAAGCGAAACATGTTATCTCTCATAGCTGCTTAGAGTCTGAGACAAAACCACAGCTTCGAAAATTGGGGGACGATGGGAGAGGCGATTGAAATGTGGAAATCCGGCGACCAGGCCGCGGGTGTAGCCCTGTCGCATGATTGGCGACCGCTACCAAAATCAACGCAGGCGGTCGCAGAGAAACAAGGCACACCTGATCAACTACGTGCTTCGCTTCAATTATTTGGATGCTACTCATCTTCATCGGACGGTAGACTTGAGAAGCAGTTCGATGTTCAAATTAACAATCTACTCTTGCAGGCGCTCGACCTTCATTTTTCCCCTAATCAGGGTTGTAAGAAACGGAGTACAATGCCCCCCCCCCACCTATGTTCTACCACTGCCAATGCAGATTCAGAACTCGGGTAGATCTTAGTGAACACCTTCGTATCTTCCGCACCAATTACTGCAACGTGGGCACTATGCAAAAAAACACTGGTCACGAAACTCTATAACACGGGAAGCTGTGCGACCAGAACGCACAGGACTCCATAAAAAAGATGAACCACATCGAGTCACCCACTGCTGTGGCATTTGTGGCCTCCAGGGTGGGCACGGCGGACGTAGCTGCTGCGTACAACCTCTGTTCGCCTAGCTTCATCGCCAATTACCCCTCAAATCTTGGACACCTCCGTCTACTCGATATCCGGTCGAATTATCGGTCAGTAGTTGTTTCTTGCCCAAGACTAATACAACTATCATGAACCACTCCATGCGCCCTAACAACAATCATCAAAGTCCTCCATCCATCATTCAAACCACCAATAGCCATCGTCAACTATAAATAACAAACTACCACAGTTGGGCGCCATGTCTGATTTCCCGTTTTTGTTGGTGAATCCATTCTATTCAGACAGCTCGGGTCTGGCACTGAGAAGAATGCCCACAAACAAAAACTTAGGATGAGCTCGCAAAATTTTGCTTGGGACGGCTGTAGAATCACAGCGCTGGGTCCTGTAACCCATCCACTCTGAGACTGTTCAGATTGGCACAGTTGAGAGATCCGGGTTGATTATTTGAAGATGAAAAGAAGAAGAAGAAGAAGAAGATTAGGAGGAAGAAGAAGAGGAAGAAGAAGAAGAAGAAGAAGAGGAGGAAGAAGATCCAGATGCCTGTTGATGGAGTGGGCATCGGAGAACCACGCCTCGAGAGTTAGCCGTTCTGCTTTTGTGTTGCCCCGGCCTAAAATGGCAGCTCGCTGGAGAACGAAAGTATGCCCAGTTTCTCAAACGTGTGTTGCTAATTGAGAGTGGGTGTAACCTCCGAGTAGCCTATCTATGCTCTTGTAGGCGAGTCTGCAAGTTCCGCCCGGTTTCTCCCACATAGCTGTAGTCGCCCTCATTGCAACTTATTTTGTAGATAACTGCTGAAGTTTCGGCGGGTGGCAATGGGTCCTTAGGTTGCATCAGACGGCGTCGAATTGGTGCCCGGGGTCGGTGGGCTACGTCTACTCTGGCAGGTTGTAACAATCGAAAGACCGCCTCAGAGACCCCTTTAACGTAAGGAATGGCCCTCCATACTTCGGGTTGCTGCTCATTTGGCCGTCGTCTGTGCGTCCGTCTGCTTCTCCTGATAAAATGTCTGGAGATAGCCATTGGCTGAAAATAGGTTCTGGAGATACATTCGTTCGGCTCTTTTATCTTCTGGCGTGCACCAGTGTGTTTCGACTCTTTGGAATAGAGTGCGGACACAGCTACGTTTGTGAGACAGAGGATGGTTGCTGTTGAAGTGTAGGATTTGTCTCGTGTTGGTGGATTTTCGGAATACTGCGGTTTGCAGTTGTCCAGTTGTAAACCGGCGCACAAGCATGTCAGGAAGGACAGTTGGTTGTTTGTTTCTGCTTCCAGTTCAATCTGAGACTGGATGGTGGCTAGCAGCCAACGACAGGTAAATCAAATATGGCTATTCTGGTCTCCATTACCCTTGCCGATGACAGCTTCCGAGTATGGACCGTTTGTCGCTACGGCATCACCTGCGGCCTTTTGCCTACAGGCACAAGATAAGATCAGCGAACGCGATTCACGTGCGACTTTGAGTGATGCCAGTGCCAGGCAGGAGTCTGGATTTGCAGCACGGTAAGGTTAAAATGCGATTCCCAGGTGGCATATCAAGAGAAGAGGAGGCCTTCACCGGAACGGGCTTTGTTAGAGGTCTGGCGTTTCAAGTAGTTACCTCGTTCAACCATCTTCAGAGGGTAAAAAGTCATGCGCACAGCCCTCACTATATGGCGTACATGGTTTGATGCGTAGCCCGCCAGTGCCGTCTGCGTGGCTGCATCCGACCCGCATGTCACCGCGACCTGGGTCACCCCCCCCCTCCCCCACTAGCCGCGGAGATAATTGGCGGCCCCAACTGTTTCGCGGCGTGACTGTCCCCCGTCAAGGCTCGTAAAACCAGATAGAGGGGAAGCAAATTACTGTGTGGCGGTTGGCAGGGCAGTCGGTGGACGTCCAGACTTCCTGCACCTGATCGCCACCTCGGTCCACGATCTCAGTGGCGTCAAAATCACATATGTGTCCCGTTTGCGTGGCAGGGGTTGGCACCTCCGACTTTGGGTCTAACACCTTCGCACGGCCAACTGATGCTCGCGCATTCGTGTTTGCAGCCGTTGGCAGGTCTCCCCCAGCGTAGCTGGACATCCCGCAGCTGCACTGAAGTCGGCAGACAGCGGCCGACATCTCCTCTTTAGAGATCACTTGCAGGAGGATTGTTGAGTCAGGCCTGGGAGCAATTCATTCCGAGTGGCGCGATGGATCTAGCCACGGCTGTGGAGATGCACTTCATGTACTGAATGCTGCGGCACGACTGTGGCTGACTAATATTCTTCATCCCACTTCTTTTGTTGCATTCGACTCTGTTCAACGAACGCTCGAGGGTGGCCGTTGGCTCTGAAGAGTTCTTGGAAGAGCTTTATCTGGTCTAGTTTGGCAGCTGGCGTGCTGCAACGAGTTTCCACCCACCGGTATAGCGTGAATACACAGCTTCGTTTGTGTTGAAGCGGGTAGTTGCTATTGGAACTTAGCATTTCTAGCGTGTTGGTCGGTCTTCTGTAGACTGACGCCGCTAGTTACATAGTTTACAATCACCCGAAACCCCCTTTCGGATGTCATGTCTTCGGGCACGGCGACGAGAGACGACGACGACGACGACGACGGCACTGCAGTCTCCCCCAATCGAATCAGGTACGGAAATATGGATTCTCCACCCATCCCTCCGATACCAAAGATTAGAGGAGCGTTACACAAACGAACCTTGCAGGGGCTTGCGATCGGTTAGATCTCAGCTTTAGAGAAACCAAGAACCGAACCAAATAACTCGAGTCCCGCACTTTTAACCGACGCGCACTAACAACGATTTGATGCAGACAGCTGGACAGGAGAAGTAGCATGTCTCGTTTGTGTAGGCGGGTGGTCCCGGTTACATGTGGGTGGAAATTTGAGTGATCGAAAAAAAACAAGCAATTCATGCACAGGCACAAGTCCGAAAGTTAACAGGCGCGCAATAGTTAAGGGCATGCGACCCCAAGTCATGCACAATTATAGGAATAATTTGGCCACGAAGACGCAGGAGCCGGTGACGCAGGCTTTTGGGAGGGAGAGGGATGAGCGGGCGCAGGACTTTTCTTGATTTTTAGACCCGGTCTGCGAAGACTCCAGCCAGGAAATTCAAAACAAAATAGAATGCGCCTGTTCCGTCCCCGCCCTCCCGCCTAAACTACCGCCCACACACAGGTGGTCTCCTGCAAAACAAAAACAACGACCAAACCAGTGAATGGCACTTGCACTGACAATGAACACTCCTTTACAGTCTGGGCCATGGCTGGCCGACGTCGACAACTAATCCCGCAACGGTTATTTCATTCGTTATCGTCGGTGAAACTCTGATTGAGGAGAAAAATCCCATGCAGGGTTGTGTGTCTATGATGTCAAAGTGCCCAAAGTGCGCCCCTTTAAGTTTGCTGGTTAGGGGAAAGTCGATGTTCGACAACGCGGTCTCCCCAACCATTTCACTGTAGGAGTCGGAAAGTCTGCAAGAGTCTGTTTTATTACAGCCCCTACTTTTGTCAGCCTGTTGCAGTCAGGTACGCCTTAATAAGTGGCAGGTCCGCGTATAAAGATCTTGAGTCAGGCTTCGAGCTAAGGGGAAGAGGGAATGGGGTTGGAGTGAAACATCAAGTCGGTAGCGCGAAGGTACTTCTGTATGCAAGCAATCCGCCCCTAGGACAGGCCACGCGGTAGATGCGCTGGATCAACGCGGCGGCCGGATCCGGGCAGGCCAAGCGTTATTGGGGAGGCGCACTCATAACAAATGCCACGCGCGGGGGGAGGGCGGTGAGCTTAGGTGCGGATTCACGCCGCGCCAGCCACCTGAGGGCTTTCCCGCCTCCGGCCCTTTTGACTTTGCCATAGCACTGGGTCCAGGTGGGAGAGGAGGGTGCGGTAGATGCAGCGCAAGTCTACTATCACTATAAATCTATTCACGCGCAAGTCACCGTCCCTGCATCTACTACGCTGTGCGGAACATGGTGTGGACATCGTCGGAATCGACAGTCAAACTGTCGTATGCAAGCAAAAGTCTGAACCCCCCTGAGCCAGACCCAGGCTTCTAGTTGACTTGGTTGACGACGCAATGGTCACACTGTTTGTAAATACGCAAACGAAGCTCGAAACTTCGAACGCCCACTACCCACTCAAAAAACCGGGCGGGTTAGCAGAGGCAACAGAAACAAAAAAGACAAACTAACCGTGGAATAGCATATGCGGGCCCGAGGAGAAGCTGGTCCTTCGGGTCCTGTGCAACAAAAATATAGTCCCTAAGGTAGGCCTTGGGTTTCCAGCCCAGGGTCTTTGCACGCTCAGCGGTCGTGAGTAGACACGCAGATGCGCCGTCTGTCAGAAAACTGGCATTCGCTGCTGTGATCGTGCCATGCGGCTTGACAAAGGCTGCCCTCAGTTTCGCCATTGTAGCAGGATCAGAAGGGCGTATGCCGTTGTCCTGAAAAAGGAAAAGGGTTGTAGCGGCTCGATCGAGGTGGTAGGTCAAGGTTTGAGGGGAAAGTTCATTACCAACATGATTGATGAGTGGCAGAGAAGTTACGGGGAGTACCACAGAACTCGCTATGAAGGCTCCTGGGTGGCAGCGCATTACCAACAATTTAAAGAAAAACACTTATCCAACTCTGTTGATATGACAATTTCGGAAATGCAGCTAGGCAAATGTTCGTCCTGCGTGAACCGGCTTGTCAATTTCCACTGATGGGCTGCGATGCTGGGCTCCTAAGGGGTTCGGCTTCAATTAAAAACCAGAAACAATCTTATAATGGTAGGGGCGCGCTCACCGGTCGTTCTAACGGAACTCACTCGTTCCGTTGGCCTTACGGGCTCTCTCGAGCCCAACCAGCAGCCGCACAGCTGCGCATTATATAGGCAGTATGTTATTACCGACAAACACAAATGACACTGGGATGACCACTTCTGGCTTATTAGGCGTTGTCAGCCAGTCATACCCAACCCCGAAGTGTGGAACACCTGAGGCCCAGTGGTTAGAGGCGTGGACTTCTAACTAACAGGTCGCGGGTTCGAGCCTCCGGTGTTCCACACTTCGAGGCTGGGTATGACTGACGACGGCTAATAAGCCAGAAACGGCCATTCCAGTCTCCTTTGTCTTTGTCGGTATAACATACTGCCTACAGTCTTATGAACGCATTGGGGCATTACCAAGCACGCGGCAGTCAACTCCAGTTAAACATGACTACTCTTGGACGCACCAACTGGTTTTTGTTGCAGGATTTCCTGCCTCCTTATGACAAGCGCAGAGACAGTTCGAGATACGGTCATCGAAAGCGGGACTTGCAGACGTTGGTTACGATGAGGCCGCTAGGGCTACTGCAGCTGTGATTGTTGTGCGGGACACCATGACTGAATTGTTTCTCGAGGCTCCAGGCTACTGAAACGAAGTTTGGCACTTGAAGGTATGACACAACGCGCTGTGTCCAGTGTTAAACCAAGTCATTACTGCTTCAGCAAACGATGCAGATGGTGGCTACGGCAACGGCAATGACAACTGTCTACACAATTATAATGGCGTATGCGCATCCAGTTCGGAGTCCTCCTCGAACAGTGTCAACAACAAAGATAGCGTGCTTCCGTCGCACCCAGTCATCCATCTATTGGGCACATAAAACACGTTCATTTCCTTCCGCGGTGAATTCAACTTGATGATTTCGACTTCTTGTCCTCAGCACCAGATTTGAATCCTCGTCAACCCCATTGGCATTGGTTGGGTGCGTGCCACCTGTCTGCTGGTTCGACGGCAGCTGGCAAACACAGGCGGCTCCTCAAAGAGTGAAGGTCCGGCCGAAGAGCAGTTTTCGACCTTTATTAAATATTGTCCATTTGTATCCTACATGGTGGGCATTTATTGCTGATGAATCGGTCTCGGCCTATGCCTTCTGCCTCACACTGTAGTCGCTGTGGACCGTCCCGACAGCAATTCTGCTGAGGCTCAGCCATCTTCCTACTGGTTTCCAAAAATTGAGACAGAACTGGGTACGGGTATTAGCGCAGCAAGGACCTTTGCAATCGTCATTCTCAGACGGCTTCAGTGCGCGTGACTTGAAGAAGAGGCGCCAGCAAGTCGAATTACGAGTCGAATGTGAAAGAACTGGCTAATTTTCGGCAGTCGCCTGTCCTGCTGGCTGCGCCATGGCGTCTGGGAGTCCAATGCCATCCATCGTGAGCCTCTTTGGCCAGCTGGGATTATGACCTATAATGGTTCTACTTTGTCCATAAAACCTGTACAAACCTGGCAATATTCGATATGGCCTTTCGCAAGGATACCCATACTGTTTAACTGATTCACAAACTGGACTATCGGAACGGTTGTTGGCGATTTTAATGGCATCAATTTCGTACTCTAACACTGGCTGACTGGCCTCGGTCACGTTTATGCCTTCATGATAGCGCCGAGTTATGAAGACCCACAGAACATAGTGTCCCAACTAATCAAGTTCATCAAACCACCCGACTTATCCATTAAAACCAGTCTTTTTCGAGTTGCGTCTCTGACCAGGAAAACCATTTCAGGATCAATGGCCGTCGGCCTAGAGATGTGGACAGTGTGAAAGACCTATCGACAAAGTTGTTATTAAGTGGAAAATCTAAGAACACTAACACCATATGCCATGCTGCTCGCGGGTACTTGTAAGTCCGCGAGGGTGCCTACGGATTCATGGTGATATGCTAACTGCTAACCAGATCCGTGTGTATCATTCAGCCTCCTGTACAGTTGTGAATGCTGGGCCGTGCGCACTGATGACAAGCCGAACACGGAATTTGTCAGCCAATGTTGCCTAAGAACGATCCTTCGGGTTATGTAATCTGACTTAGCCTCGAGTGCGACACCGCACCGGCTGAAATAATATCATACGCTTTAGAGATCATACAAGGACGGCGGATAAGGGGCATTAATTCAGTCATGCCGCCTAACTAGAGGTCAGCATAACAAACTAAATCGACACAGTAAATTAAGACTGTCAGTTTTCGTTGCAAGGGAAGTGTGCTGAAATCGCCAGAGAGACTGCCGTTGCGCGTGCAGGTGTCTTGTCCGCTAAATGACTAAGGCCGGCTTCATCAGATACGATCACGGCTGCATGAAACATGCATGCAGGCAGTGGTACCTTAGAAGGCTTAAACTTTTGGGCCGCCTGTTTGATCCAGGCTACCTTTGTGACAGAGCAGACCTCTTATAGTGAATAACGTCGACTGTCCTTCAATTGATCCTCGTAGGATATAAAGTTACTAAACCTTCGGGGATGATTATAGTACCATTATGTAAATTTTGACTACGGCCAACTCAGCAAATGGGGAGTAAGCTGTGCTAAAGTGAAATTAACCTATTGGTCGTATGCCAAGCATACGTTTCATTCCGTGATCCAGCTTTCTTACCCATTGACAACATAATTAGCATGCAGGAAGGTCACTTTTAGGACATTAATGGCATGTGACTATTTGGCAAACAGATAGTTTGTCCGACGATGATGACCACTGTCCAGCGAAAAAAAATGAAGGTTTTTGCATGAGTTAGATTATAATGAAAGTCTTGCACCAATTCGAGAGAGGACCTAGTCGCCTCGGAATTTCACAATCATCCAACCTATGCATAACAAGGAAAGTCCGTGCACAGTCGACAGTTTTCTCCATTCTCCGACATGATAAGGCCATACGTCGATCTATTCTATTGCATGACGGAGCAGGAGCCATCACATGAGGTTAGGACAGCACTTGCTGGTGACTGTAACCGAGAAATGGCTATTTTAGTTGCCTTATCTTTGTCGACAGAAGTTATATTCTCACTTATATCCCCAGCGTGAACGAGTGGGAAGTAATGGTCAAGCCCACTAGAATTTACAGCGGGAGCAGTGACTGGTCGTTCTTCTAAGTGGGTGTGACCGAGTGGAAGTATGATCTCTGTAAGGACAATACAACTAGAGAACTCGGAGTTTCTCCTGGCTTATAAGCTGTGCATCGGTGTTCTGTGTGCTCGGGTGTGAGATTTTACAACCGCCCATATTGGTGAGGATCAACAAGTCGCAAATTTTGCACGAATCGAAGCCTCAATACGCATTTGAAAGAAAAGGAAACAGCAAACCAGGTTAAAATAACTAAGTAAGAAGAACTAGCACACTTGCCTTTTGAACGGGTTCCGGAATTTCACGCACTTTGAAAGGCACTAGGTCAGTAAGTTTGCCTTCATCGGAAGCTTTTTTGGCTAACGAATGAGATCTACACGCGTAATCATCCTGTTCCTTGCGGGAAACGTCAAAGGCAGCAGCCAAACGATCCGCCGAGTGACCCATGGACTCATTGGTAGAAAATTCCGCGACCGCTGGAAGATCAGGGACCCAGGCCGAGGGACTGAGCATTTGACTGGCCAAAGTAAGTTTTCGCAAAGTCGTTTTGGCCTATGCAAATAGTGAGGCGACCAAACGCGTAAGATATCAGTAAGTAGGAAGTGAGTAACATGGACTCAAGAAAAGTATGAAGGACTTCAATTCACTTTTAATTACTTGAGTTGACGGTGAGATCAGACTGCATGAACTCTTCGACAGTAGCCATGATTCGTTTCAAGTTTGGAGCGGCTTGGGAGAATCAATAATGAGATTGCTATGTGCAAATTCTCACTTTTAATGCCATGGGCGCCGAAACCCCTAGGGTTTACCAGTATGACAAAATAGACAGACAGAAAACCCCGAGTCTACTGAGGAGTACAAATGAGTAAAGGGGGCACCTTCAGCACGAATTCAGGAATGCGTTTATAGGGTCGTAGTAAAAAGACAGAACACCAAAGTATTGGGTTGATTTTCGGCAGACACCTCGAAGAATGGATGAGCTAACTTGAAAGTATCGCCCACGTGATTTCATGTAGCAAAAATTGCATAATAATTTTCAAAGACTGCAAGCTACCATAAAATGCAAACCAAATTTATGGCCTAAATGAGAGTGGATCTTATAAATAAAACAGGACGCAAAGTGAGGTACGTGCAGCCACGATGGTAAAAATGAGTTAGACTTGGAAAAATTTATTACCTTTCCAAATGACAACATGGCCGACCGCATTTTACGGCTGTAACGAATGGGTACGTCTGACATTATGTCAACACCTCCAGCGACTGCTACGCCGATGTTTCCCAGAGCGATGTTGCCCATACAATCTACAATGGCTTGATTCGAGCTGATGCAAGCCATCGAGACTGTGCTTGCCGGCGTTTTATCGGAATATCCGGCGCATAGCGCTGCCTCGCGTGCAACATTCGGTGTCTTCACCTCCTAAGTTTATTAGAACCACGGGAAAGGGAGATTCGCACCTGAATAACAGTCCCGAAGCAAATTCCGTCGACTGCAGACCTGTCAAATCCGACTCTATTTTTTAGATTTCGTAAGACTTCAGTAGCTAGATCATGAGGCATAAGCTTCTTGTAGCTTGTCCCAGCGACGAGAAAGGGAGTCCGAACTCCGTCAATTAAGACAATATCCTTTAAGCCAGAACGCGTAAAAGTTCTCCTGAGAGTTTCCTGAGTTAGGGTATTTGTCTGCGCCGAAAACCCACGCAGTGCTGTGGGCAAAAGACCATTTTTTCGTAGCACTCTCAAGAACCTCATGTCTACGGTGGTTGGTCGAAACACTCGGGCGAAATCAACAACTAGACGTATTGTGAGGAATCCGCAACAACAAAACCAATCAAGTATAATTCATATTGACCCAACTGTGAAAAACTCGACGTCTGGGTGCGTTTTGAACCCGGGACAGTGCGGAGAAGGCTTTAGTACAGCCAACGCTCTAGCCACCGCAATTACGAGACCCCACCGGAAGACGCGAGTTTAATCCCATTTGGGTCAAGTTGCCGTCCAGCTTACTACAACGTCTGGAATCCACCAAATCTTATGCAGTAAGCTGACCGTCAAAGCAAGATTTCCCTAGTAATCCAACTAGAATCACCAGATGACTACCAGGCTCACGTAATTCATACATCTCTTGGCAGGTTTAAGTTTTCCGACATGGACAGAAAAGTGTATTTCAACCAGTGGCAAATAAGTTAGACTTATCGACGAAGTTAGAGCTCCGCAAATTCAACTTCAACAGGATCTTAATCATCCGACTAAGGCTTAGTAACATAAAGATGACGAGATCTGAATATTACTATTCCACAGGAGGTCACCAGCTCGGGCGAGTGAGCGAGTTAAGGAACCAAGGTGCGTGGATGACGCCACTCTCAAACCTTCGCCTCACAGCGCCTAGATAATAAAGAAGTCCCTGGGTATCCTAAGGGACGATCATGGGTCCCTTCGTTAACATTAAAGAAGGGTTTTTAGTCGGGCGATTGGAAAATTAATCCGGCCGGTGTTAGAATAGTGCGTTAAGACGTGACACCTTGCTAATATGAGCAAGACTGCACTCTTGCAGGGCGTTCAACGACGGGTGACCAGACTAATTAGTGGACTAAACTGCCTACCATACGAGAGGCAGCTAGAAAAACTTTAAACGTTTCCTCCCTTTTGTAGGCAATGCAGAGTGTTATGCGGTCGTAGTCTTAAAACTCGTTAGCGGAGTAGACTGTGCATCTCGATTGGCCGATTCCTAGAACTAGCTATCAATTCGAACTAAAGGCAAACTAAACAAAATAGAGAGTACGGGCGAACATCTCCTTCCACCGGGCGATTGAAGAATGAAACAAATTACCTTATTCGGTCGTTCTGATGGAAAACATTTAAATATTTCATATAGGACTTGGTGGTATTTTACATGATAGCCATCTTTTTCTTCGACATGGACTGTTATAATGTACTCCTAAGGCTATGTAAAAATATCCGCGTTTATTTTGCCTCGGTTCTTACTGGAATAACGGTTTCGTAGTCGCAGTACCAATAATGCTGGTTACACCGCTGGTCCCCTGCTTGACTCCATACTCTTCCCGACACCTGTCGTGGAAAAGGAGCTGCAAAATATCAAAGAAGCAAAGTCCTCGGGACCGAACAATATACCGGCCAAATTCTTGAAAGACTTGGCGAATGAACTCTCCAAACCACTGGCACACATCATCCGCTCGTCATTCGAATTAGGGAGGCTGCCATCGGAATGAAAGACAGAAAATATCTTTCCGATATACGAGGGCAGGGCTCGCAATTATGCTAACAATTACCGGCCTGTTAGTCTCACATGTATCTGCTGTAAAATAATGGAAGTCATAGTTAAGAAAGCAACAATGAAGTTCCTGGAGCAAAACCACTTACTCATAGACCTGCAGCACGGTTTCAGACAGAACCGCTCGTGCCTTACAAGCTTACTGCTCTCGACGGAGCAGTTGACTCGCGCACTGGACGAGGATGGTAGGGTCGATGTTATCTACATGGAATTCAAGAGGGCGTTCGTTAGCGTCCCACACAAACGCCTAATCTACAAACTTTCTGCAATTGCGATAAGAAGAAGGCTGCTGACGTGGATGACAGATTTTCTTACAGGGAGATCATAAACCGTATGCGTTGAGGTCTCGAGGTCAACTCCTACCCCCGTTCTAATTGGTGTACCCAGGGCTTCGTCTTAGGGCCGTCGCTATACCTTGTTTACGTTAACGACTGCGTTGACGACCTGGGATGCAGCGCCATCATGTTTGCTGACGATGTTAAGCTGTGGAGAAGCAGCAGATCTAACACAGACAGGTACGCGCTTCAAGACAGTCTCAATCGCCGGAACAGTTGGTCAGCTCGTTGGCTCCTTAATTTTAATGTGGACAAATGTGTGGTCCTGGGACTCCGCACCCGGAGGACCAGTAAGGAGGACGATTCCTTCCAATGCGTCCTGGGTGGTCAGCCCCTTTCAAGTGTTGTGGGACAGAAAGACCTCGGCGTTTTAATGACCTCCCCGCCGAAACCATCATCACAGAGTCAAAGAGTAGCCAAAGGTGCGATAAGGGTGTTATTTACGCTAAAGTGAGGATTTGTGCAGGTCGACAAAGAGCTATTCGGAAAAACCTATGGGGCATTCGTCCGGTCTCACTTAGAGTATGCAGTGCAGGCCTGGCGACCGTGGTTGAAGAAAGATTATCAACGACTGGAAAGAATACAGGGGATGGCTACGAAGATGGTCAAGAATCTTCATCATCTGCCTTACGAAACCAGGCTGACCGAACTAAATATGTTTCCTCTCAATTACAGGCAACTGCACGACGATCTCATTCAAACCTAGAGGATTGTCATAGGCCGTGAGTGTGCCCTAGACTTTGATGAATTCCTCGAATTGGCCGGGACTGATCGTCTGCGTGGTCATCCCTTCAAACTGCAGAGGAAGCTGGCTCATTCGGACGTCCGACGGAGCGTCTTCTCACACAGGATCATTGGGGCATGGAGCGGACTCCCTAATGCGGTGGTTGTTTCGGAAATTGTCGAATCCTTTAACTGTGGACTAGATGCTCATTTGATGATAAACTACTGTACATATAATCACGATTGTTTTAGCGGCGGCAGTTTGCGTCTGGCTCACACTTACCGCTAACTTTTGAATTTCCGCATTTGCTGATGTAATTGTTGGTTCTATTTCTGTTTATCGATATGAATAGGGAGCTCAAGGGCGAAAGCCTCATTCCCTTAATAAACTGACTTGAAGTGACTTGCATGTCTGAAAATAAAATTTTTAGAGGCTTTCTCTCTCTTCCTTATATTTACTGAATCACACCGCTCTGTCGGCTCGCGAGAATACCAACACAGGATAGAGACTGGTAAACAGTAACCCCGCGTCTCAGCAGCAATTCGAAAATCTTAGCAGGTTGACGTCAAGTGCACCATCAGTTCCGTACACATGTGAAATAGAAGAAAAGGTTTTATAAGTCGCATTTATGTGCTGCAGCTTTTCGTGGCACACAGAAAAGTGCATAAAATAAACTAACCCATCTTGGCTGTGCGTTGCCTGCATTTGTTTTGGGTGTCTGCTTAGTGAATGTAGCCAGATTTGGGAGTCCGTTTTAGGTTAAAAAGAATTGAATTCCACGGCATTAGAATAGTAAAAGTTGGGAAGAAGAACGACATGTACAGTACGGAAATCTAGGTTTCGAATTTGGTAGTATTGTAGTCACGAATTTTCCTTACCAGGAGAGGCTGAACGTGCTTGGCTTATTCCATCTATCTTATAGACAACTAAACTGCAGTCTACTCTGGACATTGCGGATTGTCCGTGGTCAAGGTTGCTCACTGAAAACGGAGAACTTTTGAAGTTTGCCCGTAAAAACCAATTACGCGGTCATCTTTACAAAGTCAAGACTGAATGCACGTGACTAGACCGTAGGAAGTTTTCCTTCAGCTAGCTGGTTGTCCGACCATGGAACCCGCTTTCAAGTGGAATCGTGATGTTCGACACAATTTGCATGTTTAAAAGAAGACTTGCTCTCTTGATTTTCTGCAGAAACCGGTATTTACAGCATGACTTCTCACAGCCAGCTGTGTAAAACACTCTGTCATACACAATTTTTCCGTATTGACTTTCAGTGAACAGGCGCGCTTCCTTATCATTACGATTGTACTGTGACCCGACCTCATTGTAAATGTCTGCAACTTTATTTTGAGTGCGAATCTGCGAACGTATTGTACACAAATAGGGTCATCAAGGGCTCCGGCTCTAACCCTTCAAATACATACAGGCTAGTCTTTCAAAAATGGAAAATTTTCAAAGACGTTTTACCAGAAAACTCTTAGGCACGGAACATTCAAATATCTCCTACTCAGATAGATGCCAGCTAACTAACTTACGATTTTTATGGGTTCGAAGACTAGAAGCAGCTTTCTGTCTCCTCTTTTGCACTAATAATAGTTCGAATCTTCCTCGGATTTCAACACCTTCCCCTTGTAGTCACCCCTACAATCTTCGCAACTTTTCCCTGGTTATACCTTCTCCTGATTTCTCCACCTCTCAGCAGTCTCTTTTTTTCGCTTTCAGGTATACATTCCTCTGGAATACCTTTCCAATAAATATAAGACTTCAGATAATCTACACACTTTTAAGAGGGGGCTACGCCTTTATCTGAATACTAGTGTTCAGAGGAACGGCCAGAACTTACAAGCTTATGACGCTCACAGTCGCCGAGACTCAGTCGGTCAGTCGTGCTACCTATCCAACTTCTCATGGATCTGACCTGGGCATGAACCGACTTGAGCATTTTGTTATGCAGCTGGTGGCTAAGATTAGTATAGTTACCTCTGGAGTCCCGCGGCGATCTCACGGTCGCCGGCGGATTTCCTTAGGTCGACGTACCCACTAGCAGCAGTCTCCAAAGAGCATGTGCTGGTATCACTAGAAGTTCTAAGCAGTGACTCCACAATGTCTGCCGCCATGATTTTCCAGACCATCTCTTACGGCCTCAATAACCAATCTCATCAGGAAGTAGAGACGAATAATATTAAGAACACTGCCAATCTTCACATAT